TCCTCGGGTAATCATCGCCAATCTATCGCTAATCTTACGTACCTTTTAATTTTTTTGTAATACTGATGTGTTCCTATTGTAATAGGAACAGTGCAACAAATTTCGGGTCATCGCTTCCATCCCAAATGACTCTAACGGGAAATGAAAGTAGACCAATAGACTAACAAAATCCCGCCGGGGTTTTACTTTATTAGCTCGGATTTTTTTTTAATGGCTACCTGAAATTTTTCGCGAATGCGCCGGCGGTAGCTATGCAACCTCTTGAAGTTCGCATATTTTTGGGTCATTTTATCGACTTTTCGCTATGTATAAATGGATATACTTAACCATTTAAACTTGAAAAAATAGAATATCTAATATTTATTAAATATTTCGTGGTTGAAAATGCCTTTTTTAGCCCATTTTTGCAAAGTAATTAGGATTTAATTTTTTTAATTAAAAAACATTATTCTTGTATTTTTTGTTTATTTTCCAATGAATTACACGATAAATGAGATGGAACGACTATGTTGCTCGAACCCTTTTTGGTGCCAGTTGGAGTGGGAAATCGTCGATACCATCGCTGTCATCGTCAGAGTCCGCGTCTGAATCTACCAAAATTTCGGTTTCTCTTTCTGAGACACCTCCTTCTTCTTCTTCTTCATCTTCAAACACATTTTTGCTCCACCAACAAATTTCCGCAAGAACTGCGTGGGGCAATTGTTTTCCTCTATATCTGTAAATTGTTTTCATTAAAATCCGTTTTCTATGCAACAAAAAATTAATCACATTACCTCATTTGTACGCACAGAACGTTGATAGTGTTCAGACCGATGTTTCCCTATTAAGCCCTCAATGACCTCTTTTATGGAACGCCAAGCAGTCAATTCGTTGTCAATTAAAACATTGTCGAATTCTTCAGTTTTCACCAGTTTTCGAATGGCTGGGCCATTCACAACGCCTAAAAGGAGAAAGTTTTAATGTTACGATTTAATACTCAATCTGATATCTCATTTTGTTGTGAAAAAAATAATATTTAAGGTTTCATACCTTCTTTCAATTTTCTTTCGCTAAGTCGAGGGAAAATTTGTGCCAAAACCGCATAAATTTCTTGCCTCTTAGCCACAGTTTTCAGGGAACTTTTGACTATTCCAAGTTTCACGTGAAGTGGAGGTAATATAACTTTGTCTTGTGGCACCAAAGGATCTTGAATTACATTGGCATTTACTTGTTTGCTCGATTCTCTGCTCTGCCATGTGTGGTTTGTATATTGGTCGCCTTTATATCTGGAGTCCCAATCGCAGATAAAACACATATATTTAATGTATCCGGTTTGCAATCCGCGAAGAATTGCAACAACCTT